GGGCTGTGGGTAGGGTAAAAATCCACATATCCACCTCGTGAACAATGCTGTCATGTAATTAACACAGCAGAACTATTTGTTTAATTAGTCACATTTTCAGCCTTTAAATAAGAAAAAAAAAAAAAACCAAGCCATGGGTGGTCTGTAACCTCAGAAGAGCAAATACACCATGCTGTAAAATCATCCCAGCTCAGAATACTAGGTAGGACATAAAAAAAAGCATTTATTGAATTCTAAGCCTGAGTCAGGAACAGAAGGTGCATTAAGAGCTTCCCAACTGCAGCTTACCACCAATTCATTAAGTGTTCGGCATTATTTAATAAAAATGGCTTATGCATCTACTTTAACTGAAACACTATTTATTCATAAACATTTTTAACTAGAGTATCTGTTGGGACTTATTCACACACCAGTTCAGGGACAGTTTCAAATTCTTCCTTCAGGTAAATGCATTCAATACCCATTGCTGTCTGCTTCATCTAGGCTGTAAGTCTGCAAGCAGAGCTAGGCCTGTATTTTGCAATTAAACCAAGGATCTCAACTAATTTATAGAGACCAGGACACGTTGCTGTTAATGTCTTGGTAAAGTATTAACATTACAGAAGTGAGAAAACTCCTATAATCTGTGTAATAGCATTAAAATGATTCTACTGTCCTTATGCCTGAATCCCAAATTTGAAAATAAATTCTCTTTTTTTGGCTATTTTATCATAGAATCACAGAATGGTTTGTGTTGGAAGGGAACTTAAAGCTCATCCAGTTCCAATTTCCTGCCTTGGGCAGGGATACCTTCCTCTAAACCAGGTTGCTCAAAGCCCCATCCAACGTGGCCTTGAACACTGTCAGGGATGGGGCAGCCACAACTCCTCTGGTCAACATGTGCCAGGGCCTCAGCACCCTCACAGGGAAGAACTTGTGCCTAAGAGCTTACCTCAATCTCCTCTCTGTCAGTTTAAACCCATTCCCCCTTGTCCTGTTACTACACAGCCTTGTAAAAAGCCACTCTCAAGCTTTCCTGTAGCCCCCTTTAGGTACTGAAGGTCTCCTGGGAGTTTTCCCCAGCTCTCAGCCTGTTCCTACACCAGAAAAGTTTGCTTTATCAGAGAAGTCTGTCTCCAGGTAGGCACTAAATAAAATGGTCAGACCTTCTACAGAACTAGAGTTGGCTCTTGAACAAAAGTCATGACACTACTGAGTGTTGAAACAAGGGCTGAGCACATCTGAGGCTTCAGCCCACAGTTCTTCCGGTTACATTAACAGGACAGTAACTGCTTTCAGACTCTGGAAGTGGTGACCAAGCAAAGTAGTAATATTTGCTAATGGACTCAGGCAGCTGTTGCAATGGGATGTTGCAATGGGACATTGCAGACAGGGAACATCATCATTTTTAGCCCCACCCTATGCAACTACTACCTATCCAAACACAAGCTGGTTTCTCAGAACCTCTCTGCCACTCTTAATTTCTGAAGCTTAAGGGAACTTTTTGCTTTACAAGAGAGATACCTTTACAAGAGAGAGAGGAGTAAGAGAAATTCTACGCTTTATAGCTCACTCACAAGGGACAAGTTTTTCCCACCTTCCCTACTTCCACAGCATAACACACATGCAGAAACAACAGCATTTCCTGAACTTGTAAAGATGTACCCATAACAGATTTTTCTCTTTTCTGTGTAATCTCACAGCTGGACATGAAGATGGCCAACACTCTTTGACCCGTTACTCCTCCCAGGGCCATATGTGTTCTCCATCTGGCAACTGGATAGCTGCTGCTTTAGGACTTTGCCCTTTTTGTCTCCCTTATCTTTCCTTCTGTCATCTGCTTATTTTCCATTTTTATGGTATTCTTTTTTGGTAGATAATAATGCCTTCAGGATTAGTGCTGGTAAGAGGCCAGGACAAAATGGCAGCATTAACGACTTTTGTTTGAGTTAGGGTCAAAGAGAGATAATTTAGACCACAGACCTGGGGCCCCATTTTCCCATGACATTGGAAAAATCCACACAGAGAAGTAGAAACACTGAATGCTTCAAATCCAAACCTCCCTGAGTTTATCCTCCTGGTACACAGCTTGCAGAAAAGGATGAGGATTACATTTCAACACCCGTGGACAGGACTTGAGATGGACTGTACCACTATCTATTCTTTCTGCCTATTTTTTGTTTTCAGGAGCAGAATCCAGCATGGAAAAATCCACCTCTGTGGCTTCCCACCCCCACAGCTCAAGGACATCTCCTCCTAAGCTTCCCTTCTGGGACACAGCCTTACTTAGCATGTGCCCAGGCCAAAAATGCTGCTTTCTTCCCATGCTGCCAAAAGATGCGCTGTTAGTGACATGCCCACTGCCCACATACCTCTCAGAGAGGAAGGAACTGGCCCTCACTTTGGTTTTTTGGTTTTCCCCATTATTTTTTAATTTTTTATTTTTTTTAAGCCTGAAGACTGCCCTAAAATGCTTCTGCTCTGAACACAGGAGCAGGGCAATCAGTTAAAGGAATAGGCAGTATCTCTTTCCCACTGGCCAAAGCGGGGAACTGTAAAATTCATCATAAATGATGAAAAGCAAGGCAGGTAGTTAAAATTCACACACTGTTAATGAGGTAACGCAGCTAATGGCTTTTCATATATTCAATCCTAGGGTACTCCTCTTAAAGAGATTTTATTTTCCTATAGGGTTAGGAGGATGAGAAAAAGCAGGTAGGGGAGGCTCTGCTGAAATCTATGTGAATGAAGCATTCGTGTAATACCAGGACACCCTGCATTTGAAACCAGACCTTCTTCCCATGATCTGTAGCTGCTCCACAGGGAAACCCAGATCCCTATGGCCTCCATCATTAGCTTCCCATGAGGACTGATAGCAAGAAGCTGTGGTAGGTGCCACAACATAGAGAGACTGGGAAGGGTGCAGAAAGCCAGGTGGGAAAGGAAAAGTGGGAAGAGAAGCAGGAGAAGCAGCAGCAGCAAGAGGGCCCCATGTTACTGCCTGGTCCCAGCAAAGGGTGATGGTTTTGTGAGGGAGTGGTTGGAGCAAGATGAAAAGCTCTGGATCACATCTGGGAGCAGGATACAGGGAGAGGCAGCCCTCAGAGCCAGGCAGAAGGTGGTCAAGGATTAGTAGGGGGCATGGCACCTGCACAGTTGCCCTGGGACAGTCAGGAGCACTGCCAGCATGGGTGGCTGATTGCACAAGCAACCGTGAAGTGAGGAAAGAGAAAAGAGGCCTTCTGGCAGTGCTGACGCTGCTGTGCAAGGAGTCTCCCTGACAAACATTAGTCTGCAAAATCTCCTATCTGCTGGCATGGGAGGATTTGCTTTCTCATGCATTCTGCTTGACCACAACAGCTCTTGCATCTATCCAGTGTTTATCAACACTGAACTTGCATAAGGTTCAGTGGGTCCCCATCCTAAAGAACAGCAAAGCATATCCCTGCCTGTCCCAAAACCACCTGCAGACCACTCCTCTCATCCAGGGAAATATCAAGCTGCCCAGACAAAACTGTGGGTGCCTGGATTTTTGATACTCAAATTTCTCACAAACCACAACGTAAAGCATGTGGCAGATTTTCAAGGTATGTATCTTATTAATTGACACCTGCAAAAGGGCACATAGAGGCAAAAATGGAGGAAGAGCACAAATTACAGTCTTACGCCTTGTTAAAATCTCATTTAGCAGGTTCTTCAGAAAGCAGCACCTTGAAATCAGCAGTTGGGATTTATCCAGTAACTCAAAGAATGAAAAAAAAAGGCCACTTCTGCCTGCCTAGACTTTCAAAGATTCACAGGAATGACATGTCAGTAATGTGATTCAACCTTAACATTTAGATTAGATCAGGGTGGTGAGGCACTGGAACGTGCTGCCCAGAGGAGTTGTGGCTGCCCCATCCCTGGCAGTGTCCAAGGCCAGGTTGGACAGGGCTTGAAGCAACCTAGCAGAAGATGTTCCTGCCCATGGCAGGGGGTTGGAACTGGATGAGCTTTGAGGTCCTTTCCAACCCAAACCATTCTATGATTTTAAGTAAAATATCTAAATAAAATATATTCAAGTTCTAAGAAGCACCAGTTTCCTGAAGACGGCTGAGGTTATGGAATGAACTGCAGGAAAGGTCATTCATTAACACCAAATTTAAGTTTATCGCTTGTGTTTTGAAGGAAAGAAGGTGCCTCCACCTGTGAGGGACACATTGCTTAAAGCAAAGATGAGATAGGTGCCTAAGTGAGAGCTGGCAAATGAGGAAGTTGAGTTGCTTTCTTGAGTTTCAGGCATAAATTCCTAGCTCTCATTTCCTACAGTTAAAGACTTACCAAACTCTCTTCAAGCCTCTTTTCTTTACAAATGAATCTGAAAAGTTTACTCCCCATAATTAGGAAAGCTAACTCTCTGTAAAGTGCTTGTATCAGCATGCAGAAGTCCTTTTAGGTATGTGCTGTACATTCTCACTTTCATAGAAGACTTCTGTGAAGATGCCTAATAAACTAGCTTAGCAGGAACTCAAAAGCAATTTTTAGAGACAACCTAAATGTGCTTGGTTAAGAAATAAGACTTCCTTTCTCATTCAGATCAAGAAAAGCTTCATCAGATGCAATACAGAGAGTAATTTTCTGAGACCTAGTTCTATTAAAAAAAAATAAATTATTGAGAGAAACCAAACAAGAATGATACAGATTTTTTTGCCTGTTGAAGTGATTGGCAAGAGACATAGAGCGACCTGGCAATCTGCCTTTCTCCAGTGTTGCTGCTGATGAATAAGGGGATGAACACAGTGCAACTGGTCATGGATGGTGATGTATAGACCTGGTGCACCTAGACCAAGTCTATTTTCACTATTTCCATTATCCAGAAGAAAAGAAGAAATAAATACATAGAAGATATTACACAGGCAGCAGCAGGATTTTATAACTAAACACATCATTCTGTCCTGATAAGGTCTCACAGCTACTTTTGCTTTAATTAGGTGTGTGGTTTTGAAGATGCTAAGACCTGAAGCCTGTCATCATGTACTTACATAGTCATCCTCATGCAGACCTTGCTTCTGAACAGAACTTTTCACCTCCAGGGAAAACTTCTCAAACTCAGGCTTCACGGTCCTCAGCAGAGTGACGGTTTGGAGGTATGAGTATGCCTTCTTGGCTTCAAGGTCATGTTTGTCTCCTCTTCTCCAAGAGCCATTTCCTAAAGGGAAAACAAGAATATTTCCAACTCCAAATGAGGTACTATTACAGGGTTGCCTTCATTTTTCCTCCCAGAAGACCCCTCTACTGCACCTTGGGGAAATGGCAGAATACAAGACAGAACTAAACCTGCTCCAAGACATGCAGGAAACCAGGCAGGGAAGAATGGCTGTTGGGAAGTAAACCTGAAAACATATGGACAAGTTTACTCCCATGCTGCGCTTGCTTATTTTTAAAGGGTGGGATGAAGCCTAAGTGTAAGAAAACATCTCTGACTGAAAAACATGTGCCAGATCTCAAACACAAAGATATTTAAGTGAGGAAGGATTCAACCACAAAATTTGTTACACATCACTCCATCAGTAACACTCTTGGACAGTCAGAAAAGCATCAGTAAAGTCAACAGTATGATCATCACTTTCTTTCTTTTTTGACAATAAACATAATTGGAGAATTGCTCCGCTTCCTCAAAGAGAAGGAACAAAGGACCTGCACTTCTCTGGGAGGACAAATCTTTCCTCCTGCTGCTTTTCGCCCTGGGACAGCTCTTATCACTCCCAGCACAGGGTGGGAGGCACAGGACCACCTGAGCTCTTGTACCTCTCTTTTCTACCCCAGGAAAGCCTTATTTACCATAGCTCAGCATCAGCTGAGCTATTCTTTCCCAATACAAAGTTTAACTGGTCAAAATTACTTATGCCAGGACTTTATTTATCAGACCTGATGAAAACACTGGAGAGCAGCTAACATCCTACTGTCCAGTTTTGGTGTCAGAGGTAGCACTATCCCCTTCAGTGCTTGCACCCTGCCCTTGTTACTGCTTTTGAAAACGAAGAAATACACATCTGGCAATGGTAAGCTAGGACATCTTCCTAGCTTCCCCACAAGAGGGTACAAGTCCTGCCACAAGCTTTAAAGCCGAAATCCTCTGCCCCAGCTGTGGTTACCTGCATTTCAGAGGTGCAGTATTCAAGAAACACGGCAGAGACTACAGCACAGGGGGCTTTGCTATAGTTTTGATTTACAAATGGAGGTTAAAACGAGAAGGATTATAGACAGGGGGGTCTATATTCTCCCCATCTAATTATAGTGTTGGTAGAACGTAAGTTTCTGTCCTGGACAGTATGCATACTTGTTTATAAAAACCCAGACACTGGGAGCAGCGATACATCCACTTGCATAACAGCGTTCCGAGAATAATTTACGTATTTAAATTCCTCCATGGACTATTTTGTGGGAGGTCCTCTTGCCACAGTGCTTACGTGCCATTATTGCAGCTTTGGCATCTAGCGTGTCTGCTCTTCTGAAAAATTAAAAACATTCAGAACAGAGGGCAGCAGCAAACTGCAACACGGTCATCTGACCTTCACGGCACAGTGCCACTCTTCCAATCACACCCAGTCTTGGGTTTTGCATCTTTTATAAGGTACACAATCTACTATTGTCAGGCACTGGTAGCAAGGAATTTTAAGGGAATTTCAGTACATCTCTCCTTTATGCTTGTTTTCCACATGTGATGACCATCTGCACAAAAGTTAACTTCTGATGCACAGTCGTTTCACTCTTCATGGAAAACACATCCACAAAGAAACAGAAAAACAGGTTTAAAGGAATTATTAGAAACATCAGGAAATGCCATGTTCTAACTACACTACATCAGAAGACAGACAGTTTTTATTAATCCCTTGGAAAAGCAGTAAGACCTGTGATGCAGAGGAGGATGGTGCTGAGGCTCCCACACAAAGGTGGGGCAAACAGATATTGCATGGAGGTCCCACGCCAGGATGGCACAGCACTGCCCTGTTGGGACAAAGTGCTGCCTACTGGGGGCTGCATCACTGCAGACACCAACCCCACATCAGCTGTGACACCACGGTCCCTCCTGGGACAGTGTGCTGAGTCTGGGGACTGCACACTGCCTCATATAACTGTCGCTACCTCCTAGCAAATACCATCCCTGAAAGCAAAATCATTCCAAAATGCAGCATTCCCACCTCCTGCAAACACTGTTCTTATGCGACTGAAGTTAGAATCATAGAACACTTAAGGTTGGAAAGGACCTTAACATCATCAAGTTCCAACCCCCTGCCATGGGCAGGGACACCTCGCTCTAAACACTATCACCCAAGCCCTCGTCCAACCTGGCCTTGAACACTGCCAGGGATGGAGCATTCACAACCTCCTTGGGCAACCTATTCCAGTGCCTCACCACCCTAATAGGAAAGAATTTCCTCCTTATATCCAATCTAAACTTCCCCCGTTTAAGTTTTAACCCATTACCCCTTGTCCTGTCACTACAGTCCCTAATGAAGAGTCCCTCCCCAGCATCCTTATATCCCCACTTCAGATACTGGAAGGCTGCTCTGAGGTCTCCACGCAGCCTTCTCTTCTCCAGGCTGAACAGCCCCAACTTTCTCAGTGTATCTTCATATGGGAGGTGCTCCAGTCCCTGGATCATCCTCATGCCCCTCCTCTGGACTTGTTCTAACAGCTCCATGTTGTTATGTTGAGAACACCAGAACTGCACACAATACTCCAAGTGAGGTCTCACAAGAGCAGAGTAGAGGGGCAGGATCACCTCCTTTGACCTGCTGCTGGTCACGCTCCTTTTGACACAGCCCAGGATACGGTTGGCTTTCTGGGTTGCGAAAAGCTGGAAGGGCAACTCTGAAGTGTCTCAGACGTTTTCAGTACTTCCCAGGTAGTCACCCTGAGCTCATTTCAGCCAAGGCAAGGAAACCATCAGCTGTAGGGGGTGATTCATCTGAGACACTATGGACAGCTGAAGATGAGGTGAATCATTGTCCAGGGGCACCTGCTTCTCTCCTGTGACTCGAAAGGGGGCCCACCTCACACACAGACTTGTACCTATGGCCAGGTGAATCACTTCTGATGCATTTCTACTCTATGAGATGAAACACAGCAGTAGCACAGCAGTAATGAGCCACTGCCATCAGCCAGAGGGGTTATTTGATCAGTGATTTCTAGTAAAGCCAAGCCTGCAAAGCTCCTAGTGTCTACAGAAGCGCCAAAACTTCAGTGTTTTGTGACTGCTGACAAGGGTAGACCTTCAGCTTTTTTGCTCTGGTTCTGATTAAGGCTGCAATGCCAAATGGTTTTCCCTACACCACAAAGGATAAAGTCATTCCAAATTCAACTCAACAAAAAGAAAACCTTGATTCAAACCACTGGTTTTGATCTCATTCTGCAACTTTATCTTTTACTTTTTTAACTGATGTCCTTACTACCTGGCAAAACTCGGAACCTCTTTAGCTAAGCTAGACAATACATGGAGCAGCACCTGTACTTCTGTACATATCTGTATCTCCGAATTTAAACAGATACATACTGAGCTCTTCAACAATCATCACTGTTTACTGTAAAATGATCTTAAATATGGTAGATGAGTAACAAAAAGTTTATGCAAAAGAAAATTTAGCTCACAATTATCTAATTTCTTAAACAAAATACATCATCCTCTTGTGAATTCAGCTGTTCCCATTGGTTCACTTTTTGAGGCTTAGAAGAAAGAAAAAAAAACCAAGTTTTCCTCCTTTCTCAACTCCCACTTGATTTTCAATTTTAAATGAATTTGTCATTGTAGTGAATAAATTAAGGCAGCCCATAGGATGGAAATTATCTTCTCTGCACCTGCAAAAGAGGGTGCTCCTTTCAAAAGCCATGTTGACACTTAAGCAAAACCTAGTTCCCAGGCATGAACTCTCCTTAGCTTCAGCCACCTGATGCTGTTTAAAATGCAGCAAAAAACATCAGTATTACTTTAACTGAGACAGCTGTAAGCAGCTGAGAGCAGGTTTAGTCGCTGCCACACAATCCCATGATATCAAATGTAATTGAACGTAGGGACATTTCAAAATGCAAATGTATTTAATTTACATTTTAAAGTCATATTTTAAATTGACAAATCTGATCCTTTTTACTCAGACGTGGAATCAGCCACCTTTACCCACTCTACTCTAGTAAATCTGGACAGGCTATGTCCCATCCAGTGCTTTGCTTTCAACACAACACTACTGAACACTCTTGCTGATGCAGTTTCTGATCGAAAGCTGAAACAAATTAGACATGTGAATCCCCCGGCACAGAGATGACTTCTGGAGACCCAGGCCCTGTGGCTGCCCATGGCTCTGGCCATTGCTGGTGCCTCTTTCCAGACACCTTCATGAACCGCAGGCCACGGGCAGCCAGGAATACCCTGAGATGTGACAGTGACAAGCTGGGGATTGTGCAAGCTACCTAGAGCTGAGCACACATGCCACAGCACAGGGTACCCACACCTGGCTGCTATAACCATTGTCTTCATCTTGTGCTGCTCCCCCTACAACTAAGCAAGTAACACCTATAGTGTTTTTGGGACCTTGTGATCAACCAGTGGCAACTATAGCCATCAGCTCTTTTTCACTTGCAATACCAGAGCCCCAGGGGAAGATAACTGCAACAGCAGGGAGAGACAGTGGAATATTTTGGGACTCAGTGCTGCATATTTTGAGCCTAACAGATCTAAAAATATTACCAGGCTTACACAAGATTTTGTAACATAGTTGGTCAGGAAGGAAGAACATTACCATATGATGAGCTGTTGAAGAGTTCAATATTGAAGAAAGCGTAGTCCCCATTGGTCATTCCTTGCCTATGAGCAGCCAGCATGATGTTCCTGATTGTGTCACCGCTGGCACACATGATTACAACTGGTGGAAGAAAATGAGGAACACAGATAAGAGGCAGTTCAAGAACTTCAGGGAACAGGCTGTTAAAGCATGAGTGCTGCCGGAGACAGTGACCCCAGCTGTCCTCTCAGTATTGCAACAAACACGCCAACACAGATAGCAAACAAAGCTCATTTCCCAAGCTGCTGATGGAAGACAGGTACCAAACATGGATGCTTCTTCCTCCTTCCTTGTCTCCTCTGAAAATAATTAAATAGAGCCTGTGTGCGACCCAAGTTCTTTTTATCCCTCCAACATGTGGTAAGTTCTGGCTTCAAAGTTCTTCAACTGCATGTATTTGTGGAGTTGACTGCAACCATAAGCCTCAGTTGTTACTTCTAAGTGTCACTTAAAAGTACTTAGTGAAGTACACTACCTAAGACAATCTCAAGATAAAGAACTAAGGTCATACAATGGCATTACCATTTTAAGTTCCCTTCCATTTAACAGTTTGGTGTAGAGTCATCTTGCCTACAATTCAGCTATCTAAAATTTAAGTACCTGGTGTAGAATTTGTTGCCTCTCTACCATTAACAGAGAGAAACATTTCTGCAGCTAAGGACAATCTCTTCAGAATGTGACTTTCTCCCCAGGGACTATACAGTAAGCCTAGTCAACGACCTCTGAAATGACACTTAATATTCAGAAATGGGAAAAGCAAATGCCGCTTTCTAAGTGTGAAGATTAAAGGTGGTTACAAGATTAAATGCCACAGAGACTTGTTTATAAAGGACCAAGAGCTAAGCAGGGGCTTTGCTGCTACAATAGGACCTACAAGTCCACAGGTGTGTTCCATGTGGGCACCACAATCCACTTTGTGACAGCTGTGGCTGAGAAGCCTCTTCCCTAACCTGAGGGCAGGAGGCAACTACTCCCCTTGCACCTTTCCCTCTGCAAAGGGAAAGCATAAACTCAAGGTGAGGTCTTCAGCAGTTGTGACACAGCTCCCCCACTGAGCATGTTACACTATAAACTTCTTTATAGGTTCACAAGTCTGTGGCTGTGAAGCTACTGACATCAGAGGGAGCTGCAAAGTATTGTACCAGTGTGCGCTCTGGGGCTATATCCTACAGCAAAGTCATAAGAGATCCTGTTGGGATGGTAATTCAAAACCAATTGCGTGCACATTTCCAAGAACACCGTCACGCATGGCAGGGCTCAAAAGATACAATAATGTACGCAAATATTTTGAACCCAACAATAAAACTGAATCAAAACCACATTCAGCTTTTCTGAGTAGAAGTGTTTGCTGTTGTAAGAAATCAAAAGGCCAAACAGGCCAAACCTTTTTCACACACAATGAATCTTCTCCTATCACTTTTCTGGTTGGATGCCATCACAGGCATACAGCTCCAGATGAGCCGCCAGGGTGAGTCATGTTCAGTACATCCCCACACTTCAGGAGAGTTATACCATGCATAGCTCTACCTTACTGATTATAGCAGCACTATAATAACTTCCAGAGCAACAGAGCAAGACATATTTCATGACCATTGTGAAGTATATTAGCATGAAGGAAAAGAAGAAGAAAAAAGAATTTCTTACACTAAAATTTGCATCAAATCTTTTCCAGATGCACATCAGGAATGAATTTGTCTCACTGATCCTAATTTCTGTTTAGGTGAGAGATTTCCTTTTGAAACATTTCCTTGTCCTCCCAATTCTCCCTTGACTTTGCTTTTATAATTCACATCTTTCATAAAGCTGTAAACTGGAGATGGAATCAAGGAGATTCCCACAACACTAGTAATAGACCTTGAGAAAAAGGAATAAAGAAAAGAGTGTGTGTGTGGGTAAGCCTACTTTAAAATATATTAAAGCATATTTTGTAAGCCTCTAAAGGAAGGTAAAGGAAGTAATATTAACTATTTGGATGTGGTTTTTAACACAGCAGGAGAGCTAAGATTACATTTTAAGATTCTGAAGAAAATAAGATATGGGCATGTCTCTTGCAATCTTCCAAAAACGTAAATTATGTCTATTTAATCTGCATCTGTACCTTACTATTGTGTACATACAAATGTGTGCATGCAAACACATACATAATGTTTTCCCTCTGGCATAATACATGTAGACCACAGTAATTCTAATACTAATATTCTGAATTTATTGACTAGGATTATTGACTCATCCTGCAAATACTTGACAGTTTAATTCCCGTTCCCTCTGCTACACACACCCCCTGCAGTATGTGCTTATGCCAGAATGCATTTAAGCACAGTCCAGCTCTTGTGGACAGCATTATGGTAAACCTGAGCCTACAGCATCAAGTCTGCAGCATGGCTAAACGAGCCTGCAGAGCAGCTTGAGCTACTAATGAAATTCATTGAAGTGGTTAACTTTTATTATCATATTTTACATCACAATTTTGGTGTGGCTCCAAGACTTGACCCTTTTGCAGAGGCTCCAGGGACTGAGCAGGCAGCCCCTGGCAAACACTGGTGCATGGCTGACCATGCCCCTACCCCCAGGACCACCGAAAGCTTGGTGCAAACCCCCAGTCAGCAGCAACCTAGCCCATGGGGCCAGCCTCTGCCACACGTCCCCAAGGGTGAGCTGGTGGGGCAGCTTCTTTCTCAGCCCTGGCAGAGTTTTGCACAGGTCTCCTGTATTTGCTTGAATGCCCACCACCACTCAGGCATCTCAAGGAAACCCAAACATTCAGATGGGAGCAGCAACAGCAGCAGTCTCTGTAAACACAGAAGATGCAGGGTCAGAGCCAAGGACAGTGTCACCGCAGCCCTTAAAAACTGGTGGGAAACCAATCAATCAACCAAAAACACTCCTAGAAAGAGCTTTGGATAGTGTCTTGTTGCTCACAAGCCCTAATACGCTACTGGGGGTCCTCCAACAAGTTCATAGGAGACATGAAAACCTCACCTGGTCAGCTAAAGCACCCGCTGCACCCTTCACATGATATATGACTTTTAAAATATTGTGACAACCTGAAAGATGCCATGAGCAGCAGGACCACTCCTCAGGCGGAGGAACATGCCAGCAAGAGTCCTGGGGTCAGTCTTTCAAGTAAACAAGGCACAAGTGGCAGCTGAAGGGCCCACAGGGCACAAGGAGGGGAAAGAAGACAGAGCACTCCTTTTGTTTAGTCATTTGGAAGTTACAGACTGACGCAAGACCAAAGGTCTCATCTCAGCAAGCATCTAAGCCCAGGCTGAAAGCAAGCCTCTCTTTCCTGACTGCGCAGACTTAAGAGCAGGGCTCTCTTTAGCCATCAGTCATGTTACCATTGCATAGCCACAGCTCCCTATGGCTAAAGGTGAATACTGTCTTTTCCTGCTGTAAGCATGCTGTTATGCTGTTAGCATCAGGAAAGCTGAGCACACACAGACACCAGTTACACTGGTTAGAAAAGAAAAGCACCTTTCTCCACACAGCAGTTTCCTCTAGCACCTACACACGTTCCCTTGTCCCCATGCAGTATATTTCCCCCATGGCACTTACTAGGAAAGTTCTACTTTAATCACCTGCTTCAGTGAATGAAGAATTAAAAAGCCATAAGCTATCAGTCCTCAGTTATTTCCCACACACTCCTGAGCACATTAAGGATTTCACAGCAGCGTTAACGACACCTGCAGCGCAAGGTTACTCCATCCGCAGCCTACAGCACCCAACACCAGTTGTGACAGCCACACACAGCATCATCTTTGTCAGTCCAATTTGGATGCTATTTTAACATTCTGTAACCTGGGATGAAGAAATTGTACAAAGCACTTTGCACACACCTACACCTCCTTCAGAAAACAGCTAAGGAATTTCTTCAATGCTATCCTGCTCCCTGCTCCTGGTCCACACTTTTTATTTTAATAACTTAGTGGGGAAGCCCTCGGCTGCTAAAATCCTCTAAAAGAAAATGCCTTTTCAATTGTCCACGTATCCACACATTGCTCAGCACGAACTCACTTTAAAACCCATCTAACTACAATCTGCACATCCCAAAGCACTCTGAGCGGTTTACTACTTCATGATGCAAAACCAGTTCATCCAGCCCACGGGTGACTTTCCAAGATGTTTTACAAGCCATTTATCTCTACAGTGTTTTGCTAACAGTTGGTGGCAATATTATTGCACACACAGGTTTTGCATCCACACATCCCCCGAAATGACCACTTCCCCTAAATGCATTTGTTATTTATGAGGTACTCAACAGGGCTTCCTACAGCAGGAGCAGGGAAAAGGATCCCTGCTGCAAGACACAGCAGGGTGAGAAGAAAACATTTTTGCTTAGACTTTGAACCTACAGAGAGTGACTGTGCATTTCAGAGAATAAGCAACTGATTTGCTGCTCCACAGATGCAGGCGATTTTGGGTAACCCAGACCTCTGGCAGAAAGCTCATTTCTTACCATGCCACAGAGCCCTCCCAGGGTGGTCCCTGAGGGTGAGCCTCACTCTTTGCGGTGGGGTGCAAAGCTGTGATAGACTTCTGTGGGCAGTTTTCACTCAGGGCAGCTGGTCCCTGTCCTTTGGGGGATGCCTGGCCTAAGGATGCTGGCCCACGTGCCTCCCCAGTCCCGCAGGATCTTCCCTCTGCAGTGCTCCCACCACCCCAGCACCCATCCTTGACCCCATCCACCACCGCGGAGCCGAGCCAGGCATCCACCACCACTCACCCCTCTCGCCAGTCTGCAGGGCGCGAACAACGTCGTCGATGTCGAGGTGCCGGCTGCTCTCGTCGAAGCTGTGCACGGCCATGTGGAAGGCCTCCTCTTGGAAGACCACATGGACGCCCTCCATGGCGAAGTAGCAGCTGCGTTCGGGGTTGCTGTCGCTGTAGAGCAGCGTGGCCCGGTTCCACTGGTGGTGGCGGAATAGGGCCATCAGCATCTCGCCCATCTTGGCATAGGCAGGGGCGACGCGGGTGAGGTGCGAGTACTCGCCGCCCTTGGCGCCGAAGCCCGCGGCCAGCGCTCCCGCCGACAGCATGGGCACGTCCCAGTGCGCCGCCAGCCGCGCTACGGGCGCCGCCGCGTACTCGCAGACGGGCCCCAGCAACAGGTCGGGGCGGCGGTGCTGCAGGGCCACCATGTCCACCAGGCTGAACAGGGCGCGGTTGCCGCACGCCGAGTCCTCGTAGGTGAGCTGGAACGCGTAGCCGGGAGGGAGCCCGGCGCCGCTCTCCCGCAGGCTCCGCACCGCGTACTCGATGGCGGGACGCACCCGCCCCAGCGAGAAGAGGTAGGAGTCGTCCTGCGGCAGCAGCACCAGCACCCGGATCAGCTTCTCCTCCTCCTCCTCCTCCGCTCCCGCGGAGCCGCCTCCCAGCGCCGTCCGCGCCGCCAGCACGCAGCAGAGGCTGCCGAGTAGCCAGGGCGGCATCGCTCCCGCCCCCCCGAGACGCCCGAGCTGCGGCAAAGTTTTCTTCCCCCCTCCCTTCCCCTCCCGCCTCGAAATTGTTCGGTCGTGTTTTATTGCTCAGGTGTTTGGCGAGTTCACAACCTGTCCCCGCCTGCGGGTTACGGACGGAGCATCTCGGCTCTGCTTGTCTTGTTCTCTTATAGACTATGATTATTAGTACTATTACTACTACTACTGCTGCTGCTGCTGCTAGTACTAGCGTCTTCCCCCGCCCGCCCCCCCCGCCGGATTCCCCCGCGGGGCTGCCGCGCTGCGCCCGCCCGCTTAAGTAGCACGGTTCGGCGACGGCTGCCGCACGCCCCGAGGGGCGCGACCGGGTTTGTGCGGAGGGAGGAGCCCCAGCCGTGCGCCCGCCTCCCCCCCCCCCTCGCGCCCCCCCTCACCTCTGCTGCCGGCCGGCACCGCAGGGCGGGGGGAGCCCTTATCGCCGCAGTGTGTGCGTGTGCGTGTACCGCCTGCTCGGCCACTGCCCTCCGCTCCAAGCGAGCCCCTGCAACTGGGAGGAAAGGGACCCATCGCACTCTCATGTGTTTAATGTTTTGGGGTTGCTTCAGCCTGCTTAAGCCGCGTTTGATTCCCCTCCGCATCCCCGAGGGCTCGGTGCGCAGCAAGGCTGGGGGATTTGGGGAAAGGGGCTTGAAGCATCAGCAGTGGGGGATGCAGGCAGCGCCCTCAGGGGCGCTGCGGTAGGGCACAAGCAGGGCTGCTCGGCTTCCATCTCCTCACCTGAAAAGGTGACCGTGCTCCCGGTCTCTGGAACCCTAAGGGGAAGATGGCAGTGGGTCCCTGAACTCAGCCCGTGCCCTGGGATCTTCTGAGACCCAGTTTCTGTTGCTTCCCACCCACTGCATCTGAGACACAGCTGCATGCCCCAAGCAGCAGAGGTTTCCCCCAGTGAAGGAGGCATGCTCTGAGACCATTTTCTTCAGGAAAATGAATAAGAATGGTAACTTTTTAAAATTATCTTAATAATGCTGCCTAGTAAGATCACGTTAAATACATCCCTGAGCAGATCTTGCTGACCATAAAGCTGCTATACCTAAGATTTTGTTAAGGTCCAGTTCAAATGGACACAGTTCTGAGATAAAGGCCATGCAAGATGTGCAAAATGTTTCAGCAAAGAGGCTTTGGAATACCTGATGCTTTTTGACAGCAGAATTACAAAGGATGTCTGTGTGGAGTTTTCTATGCCCGCAGCCTTCACCCTCAAACCCGGAGCAGGGCTGTGTGGTTTGATGTTTTATGGTTACTCACAGAGTGCCAGGTTTGCATTCGAAAGGTGAGTGAACTGCTCCTGGCTCTGCATAAGGGGTTTGTTTAGTTCAGCCAGGAGGTCGTGGTAAGGGCAGTGTGTGTAAACTTAACTTTTGTTGCTGCCCCCAATGTGGAGTCCATGAATGGGAAACCGGCACTCCTGGGGCAACCATCTGCTCACCTTTATGATGCCTTGGTTAAAAAGGAATCTAGAAGTGCTTGTGCAATTACAGCCAGTAAGTGGAATGAAAGCCGCAGGTAACACAGACCTACAGAAATAATCATCCAAAAAATCCTTTTTTTTCTTTCAGAAGCATTTATCTAACAGGGGCTCGGTAAAATAAAGAAGCTCAGAAATTCAAGGGTGGGTAGCGACCCTGAGAAATGTGCCTCTCACATAGCTTTATTTGATTACTGAATCGAACTTCAGAGTGTTCTTGAAGATTACATAAACATCCTCCCTGGTGAAGCTGGTTTTGTATGTTCCTGTACTGTAAGTTATGTCAGGCATTTTTTTGTTGTAAATGAGTCCGTATGACATAGTGGGGATTAAGCAGAATGTTACAATATACAACACACCACCCATCTTCACCACAAAGCCTACAAAAACATTTTCTTAAGACACATTTTGAAATGCTGACCTTTGTAGTCACTGCTTTATGATGACCCTACAGATGTGTTTACAACACTGAAATCTGGATGGATCTCTCTTGATTCCTCCTTTCCTGGCCAGAATATCTTTTCCATTTTACGTGTGAGTTCCATACTCTCCTAGCTGACTTTTTCTGAGTGTAAGCTGTATAAACACAATGGAAGAGATAGTTAAGCCCATAAATCACAGGGCTGCCATCCCTTCACACTGACTGCTCCTTGTGAGGTGAAGTGCTGCTGGGAATGAATGAGAGTGGGAGAAGCAGGGCCAACATGAGGCAGAAGAGAAACAAAAGGCATCTCGCCAGTACTGTGTAGCAGTAGTAGCATCAAAGACCTTTTGCTTTCAGAAAAAGGTTTGGCCTGTAGCATGTGGTCCATTCTCACCTGAACAATTGCATTCAGCCTTATGGGAGTCGAACTGTCTCTGAGGGCCCAAAGTGTCATGAACGTTTCAGTTGTTTCCCTTCACCCTAACTGGTTTTGTAAAGAAGAATCCCACCCTGTGATTGATTTATTTCTCTGAGCCAGAAAGTTATGCATGAGAATTTACGCGTTAGCAACAGTCTGAACTGCTTGAGGCATATGAAGAAAACTCAGGTTCGCTGAAAACACAGTCCCCCCTAGAGGCTGAAAAGATGAAATATTTTAACATCGTCTGAGGAGCAAATATATCCTGCTCTCAGACTTCTAAATTCTTTCCTTGTTTTTTGAGAAAACTATTGTCTTTTTATTTCAAGGAATCTGCACTGTTTCAGAACACAACTAAGGGATTTCTTACTGCAACACAGCGTGTATGGGTTCTCTTTTTGTACTTTGTGTTCTTACCTTTGTATACTTGCTTTATGTAAAAATGCAACACAGTTTTTAGGTGAAAATATTGCAGCATGAAAACTGAACATGAACCAGTCTGATGTTAAAAAAAGTAGAGGGAAAGGCACATATTTACTTGGTTTTCTTTTAATTGACACCAACTTCTCTGTAGATACGTATACGAGAACTACAGTTAACAAAACTGCACACACAAAATGTGAGCATACCTGCACACATACAGTAACAAAATTTTGCAGAACTTGCTACTCTTGTTATCTTAACACCTTCCACTTCAGAGCACAAAGTCAGGTAAATGCGGGCAGGTAGTTGTCATTTTTCTTTTACAAATGGGGAGGACAGAACTTGGGAGGGCAAACTGATGTCCCAGAGGTCTAAGGTGATCTCAAGATCATCCCTCTACACTGCTTACCTTCACTACCACTGCTAAAATCCTGGCTTGATGGTCCTCAACAGTCACGCAGTGCTGCTGCTACCCATCCTTTACCACCGATACTGCAACGTGAGCTGAGATGCGGTCCCACAATAGATGTGCTGTTCAATCATGCTAGGCTAAAAAAGAGTGAATCTCCCCCCCCCACTTCTTTCTCTTCCATGAATAATAAAGATTAAATTTCTTGTCATGGCTGTTCAAGCATGAATAATACTTGAATGCCTGCCACCCCATATGACATGGGCAAAATGCAGCTTTATACACAGCAAATGTTATTTGCATTAATCGTTAGCTTTTTACAGCACCTGCATGGTTCCACTGAAGCCTGTGGAAGGACATACTTATCATAAGTTGACATCATTACCTTTTTACAACACGTGCATGGTTCCATTGAAGCCTGTGGAAGGACATCCTTATCATAAATTGACAATGAAACCTACAAAGTAACTTTTATTTCTAATAAGAAAGAAGGTTTTGTATTTATTTTCAAATTAAACAAAGATTCCCCACTCTTCCTCTGTTTTTCCAAGTACTGTCAGAGATGAGAATAATATTGAGAGAGCAATTACTAGTGTACCCTGGTCAAGTATCCTTGACTTAAGATTGCCTGTCTCCAGAATGCACCATCTTCTTCTGCCTGGGCTACATTGGAAAATACTAACTTTCTTTAGGCAACCATTTTCCATATTTATAGATAATATCTGGGTATAGAGCATACTCTTTATGCTACTGTAGTAAATTAGAAGGATAAATTATCTTAGTTTGGATCAAAGTAATGCTATGATTTTCATTGTTGTTTTCATTTCCATGTCATAGCACAACACCTACAAAATTTGCCCCTGGGGTTTTACCAATGTAAATATCTTGGACTCTTTCCTGAGCTCAGTTCAGCCTTCAATGGTCACCACTGAAGTGCATAGGACAATGGCCACCTTGTTCCTTATGGGCATTTATCTGCATCAAGAAGATAAGTAGGAAGTGCTGAAATACAAACACCTGTTATTCCTTACCAACATCATGGCAGTTCTCACCACATGACTTTAAAGACTTCGAGAGCAAAGACCATTTCTGCTTGAGCTTTAGTAACTCTACATTAGGTGTCCGTATTGCTTAGGGACTGTAGTGGTAGGACAAGGGGTAATGGGTTAAAACTTAAACAGGGGAAGTTTAGATTGGGTATAAGGAGGAAATTTTTTCCTGTGAGGGTGGTGAGGCACTGGAATGGGTTGCCCAGGGAGCTTGTGAATGCTCCATCCCTGGCAGTGTTCAAGACCAGGTTGGACAAAGCCCTGGGTGATATGGTTTAGTGAGAGGTGTCCCTGCCCATGGCAGGGGGTTGGAACTTGATGATCTTAAGGTCCTTTCCGACCATAACTATTCTATGATTCTATGTATCAGTGGAACACAAGTCTCATAACATAAAGAAACCAAACACCTACTCTTTGGCTGGGTATTCATCACTTCAGGCAGTATCAGTTTACATAGTAATATCAGCCTGGGAGCTGATTATGAATATTCTGAATTCACTGATGCGGTTTGCAGTTGATGTGGTGCAGCAGAGCAAGAAATCTGAATGGACAGCATCTTTATGTCTTTTCTCTTGCATGCTGATTAAAGGATTAGATTATGGGGAAAGCATGGGAAGAAACTTTTCTAGTACTATTGACAGATCTTTTTCCTGTGAGTCGATTTTAAAAATATTTAATTAAATAAAAATATGTGTTTCAGGAGTTATGTCATTTCCAGTTTATTAAAGCATAGATGTGATAAGAAATGAATGCATGGACTCAGTGGAATACACATTTGTCATTTGTCATCACATCCCTGGCATGGGAACAATGAGATTACCGAGGAAGAAGAACAAAAGGCTTCAGGAACACATGCATGGATGGAAGAAGACACAGTAGAATAACGAAAACAGCACAGGGTAGAGTGGGATAGCAGTAGTCAATAAAGCATTATACACCAAAACAAGTCAAAAGACATCTTGATCTTAACAAG